GCTGATTCTCAAACCCCCCGTTTGCTATCCCCCCCTTTCGCCCGACCCGAGTGGAGATTACCAGCCTGGAACGGATCCGTATCCCTAGGCTGGGCATCTCCTCGTCACGATTCCAATCTTCGGGGTTCCCTTCTTTTTTGAGGGCGCATCCCTAGGATTGTCATCGCCTTTGGGCGTGTCGATCTCAGGGACAGGGATAAGTTCGAGGCTGGCACAAAGAGAGACGCAGGGACTCCTCCTGGCGAGGTGCCCAAGTCCGAGCAGCGTAAGACAGCATCATAGATCAAGCTCTGTCTGGATGGCTCCTTTATTCAAGCAGTGGCGAAACGTCCTGGCATGCCCATAGTCCTACCAAAGAATGTTCTAAGAACCATTCGTGGTTTGCACGAAATGTTCTTAGAACATTTCTGGCTGGGACTGTCTTGGTTTAACGCATCGGGTTTATGTTATAAGAACCTTGTATTGTTCTTAGAACATTTTTGCGTTCTAAGAACATTTCGTGGTAGGACTATAAGAATGCCGGGACGGCCGGCCCCTGCTCAATTTGTGGGGGCGCGGAGTGTGTGAGGGGCACGCCGACATGCGCGGGGGCAGCAGGCAGAGCTCGCGTGAGGGGTTCGCCGACACGGGCGGACGTGCGCGCGCAAACTTGCCCACCGAGGCCGTTGGTGGAGCTCCGTGGGGGGCCACGGTCCTCGTGAGAGGTGCGCTGCCTTGGGCGCCACCGTGCGGACCCTGCCCTGTGGGGCCGCACGTGGAGCTCCCACGTGGCGGCGCGAGCGTGCGAAGGGAGTGCCGAGAATTGGACGGCGCCGCCACACAGTCGGGGCCCTGAAGAAGGAGCCCTTTTCGTTTGGGAGGGGCTCCATGTTCCTTGATTGTGCTGCAGTCTGCCTTCTGTTTTCCTGAGGTTTTCCACGGGAAATCGAAGCTCAACTTATGGGCTTATGGGTGGAAGGGGCCCCGTTCCTTATTTTTGGGTTCCTTAGGTCAACGCCCCGACTGTACTGACCCTCCCACTGAGGCAGTGTGTGGAGCGCGAGGCCGGGAAATCTGTGAGGGGCGTGCCGAACTAGGCGGCGCCGCCATGGGGAATTGGTCACCGGGGCCGCAGTTGGAGCCCCCTGTGGGGCCAAGAAACGTGTGAGGGTACGTCGGCATGGCGCGGCGCCGCCCTACGTCGGCGCCCACTGAGACGGTACGTGGATCTCCCGGTGGGGCCACGGAGCGTGCGAGGGGTGTGCCGAAATGGCCGGAGGGGGTGCTGTGCGGTCGGGCCCGCTGGGGGCTTCGGTGGAGTTCCCTGTGGGGCCACGAAACGTGGAAGGGGTGTGCTGGAATGGGCTGGGGTACGCTATGAGGCCCGCCAAGCTTCCCGACGGCTCCCAGGATGCTCCAGGGCGGACCTGGACCGGCGCGGGGAGTTCCGCCAAGCGAAATGTGGTTCACCACCCACCAAACCACCCCAACCCAACCCGAAGGCCTCAATTTGCCCTCCATTTCCAGTTGGGGGGGTCGGGGAGCATTGAAAAACACATATGGAACCCGTACCCCCCCCAACCCGAAATTGGGGTCTTCGGGTTGGGTTGGGGTGGTCTGGTAGGTAGTCAGTGGTGGCAGCTCGCTCTTCGAGCCCTTTCCGGGGCTGCCCTGGGGCTCCTTCGGGGCGCGCCGAGGACGTTTCGGGGGCGTGCTGGGGGCTCTTCGGCGCGGGGAGTTCCGCCAAGCGAGATGTGGTGGCATCGTTCGCTCCTCGAGCCCTTTCCAGGGGCTGCCCCGGGGCTCCCTCGGGGCGCGCCGAGGACGTTTCGGGGGCGTGTTGGGGGCTCTTCGGCGCGGGGAGTTCCGCCAAGCGAGACGTGGTGGCATCGTTCGCTCCTCGAGCCCTTTCCAGGGGCTGCCCTGGGGCTCCCTCGGGACGCGCCGAGGTCGATGTTTCGGGGGGCGTGCTGGGGGCTCTCCGACTGCCGCCGGGACGGTCCCGGGACGGCGGCAGGCGGCCCGGTGCGCGATGTGCGGGGGGCGGCAAAGAGGGGGGTGGTGACCTGGGGGGGGGGATCTCATGGCGGGGGCCATGATACCTCCCCTGATTCCATGGCGCCTCGTCTTCTGTCAATACGTTCCCTGCCCCCCCCCCCCCGCCCCCCCTGGGCCGCGCACGTGCCGCCGGCCATGATCTGCCCCTGCCCCCCCCCCTCTGGGACGCCCCCCCCTCCGCCGCTCCCCGAGGTGTGCCGCTGGTCTTTGCTAAGTGCTCCCCTGCGCCCGCCGTGACGCCGCGGCGTGCGTGCACGGCGCAGGCGGCCGAAGGCCGCCTGCCGCCGTGCGCGCGCTCGCTGCCAGCCGCGCTGCTGGGGCGGCGGTGGCTCGCTCCCTAGCGCTCCTCCCTCTGCCTCCCCCCTCCCCCCTCTGCCTCCTCCTCCACTCCTTCTTCGTCTTCCTCCTCTCCCCTGTCCTCCCTCTCTCCTTCCTGGCAGTGGGTAACTACTCTCTCTCACTCTCTCTTGTGCCTCGTCTTCCTCCTGGTCGTCGCCCTCCTCCTCCGCCTCCTCCTCCTCCGCCGCCTCCTACTCCGCCTTTTTCTCCTCCTCCCTCTCCTTCCTCTCTCCTCCTCCTCCTCCTCCTCCTCCTCCTCCTCCTCCTCCGCCTCCTTCTCCTCCTCCCTCTCCTTCCTCCTCTCCTCCTCCTCCTCCTCCTCCTCCTCCTCCTCCTCCTCCCTTCCTCCTCCTCCTCCTCCTCTTCCTCCTCCTCCTCCTCCTCCTCCTTCCTCTCCTTCCTCTCTCCTCCTTCCTCCTCCTCCTCCTCCTCCTCCTCCTCCTCCTCCTCCTCCTCCTCCTCCTCCTCCTCCTCCTCCTGCGAGGGCTGTCTACGTGTGTCTAGGTCTGCCACCAAGCCCCCTGGAGGTTTCTGCAGGCGCCTGAGGAAGCTGGATCCCCCCAGATTCTCACACGCCTGCAGCATCAGCGTGTGTGTGTGTGTGTGTGTGCCTGTGCGTTTGCACTGCTCTGGAGGCGTCTCTTTGATTGTCTGCCTCAGGTGTAAGGCCTATTCTGGTCATGGGCATGTTATGAACCTCACAAAGCAGTGTGGGCACACCCAGGAGCGCTGGTGTCAGCGATGTGTGCCAGCAGATCGCTCGCGTGCGGCCAGCACCCGAAGCCTGTAGGTATGACTGTGGAGATCGGCCCTTGATCCAAGAATGGGGCGGTCGATAACTATTGTAGCGTATAGGCAGCCCAGGCTTTCTTGCTCAGACCTGCCTTCGGAAAGCGAGGAGTTGCGGATTGAAGGACAGGCCTCAGATTTGACCCAGGTTTTGCCAAGCTTTGGGAGGTGGCGGATTCGATGAGAGAGGAAGAACCGGCCCTCGAGCCTCCAAGGGTGTTTTTCAATGATGATGAAGAGTCGGGGTCATATTAAACATCAAGGTTTCCCTGCATGCGCGGTGTTGCCGCATCTGCTCATGCTGTTCGTGGCTTGGTCAGTGCCACGGGCAGTGTCGCAAAGACTGTTGATTGGTGGATTGGTTGCGCGGGTCCTCTCGGATCCAGCTTGTGGCGAGGAAGCCACGATACATGTTGCGCCTCTGTCCTGGGTGTCGGGCTGCTGGCTCGTCCGAGGCTCCTCCTGTGTGATTCTTTGGTCGCAGCGCTGGATGAGCCGCACGCCAGTGTTGCCGCCTCGCCCCGCTGCTTTGCTCGGCTTGCCTTTTTTAGTCATGGTGGTGGTGCTGGCGCTTCGGCCGCCGCTGCCGCTCCGCGCGCAGCCTTCGCCCTCTGCTTTGCTCGCGCCTCTGTGTCTGCGCCTGCTGGTCTGACGCTGCCTAGTGCGGACGCGCGTCTTCATCCAGGGTACCTTCTGTGTCCTTGCCTCTGCGGCCCGTCCTTTGCCGTTCTCACTGGTCACCAGCCGCCCCCAAAAAACACAATTTCGGCCTCCAAGGATCTTGCGCCCTTGCCACCCGCCCTTGATGCACGTTTTGACTGCAGCGTTTGGCCGCGCTGCCGATTTCCGGTGCAGCGTTCCCTGTCACAGGGCGCGGCTGCTTTCCGTAGCGGCCGCCACCGTGTTTTGAGAGGTGCATTGCCCCATGATGGCAAAAGAAATAGGATATTCCTGGCGGTGGTTTTTGTCTCTCCTCCTCTGTCTCTTTCTTTCTCGTCTCTCTCTTCCTTCACCCTAGAATGTAGGACTGTGTTCGTGCACCCACAATCACAATATCAGGGCCAGGAGTGACGTTGGTGAGTGCATTCAGCAACTCGCAATCTGCTGATGCAGCTCATCCTTTCAGACATCGAACCATTGGCTCGCAGGTGCTCTTGTCGTGTTGTCCCCCTCCTCCTCCTCCTCCTCCTCCTCCTCCACCTCCTCCTCCTCCTCCTCCTCCTCCTCCTCCTCCTCCTTCTCCTCCTCCCCCTCCTCCACCCCCTCCTCCCCCTCCTCCACCCCCTCCTTCTCCTCCTCCTCCTCCTCCTCCTCCTCCTCCTCCTCTTCCTCCTCCTCCTCCTCTTCCTCCTCATTCCCCGCCTCCGCTCATGCGACCCCTGGCGCCTAGCTGCGGAGCTGCCATTTCACCCAATAGAGGAGCGGGCCTCGCCTGCCTTCCACGGACCGTGAGTTGTTCCATGTGCTTCGCCCGTCCCATGCTCTGCCCGTAGGGGTTTCAAGGGCCGCTTCAAGACGGCAGTACGTAAGGGCCCCCGAGATTTCCATGACGGCCCCACTGGAGGCCACAAGCGGCCCCAAGGTGCCGTGAAGATCGCCCAGGATGGCCCAGCGAGGCCCCCAAGATGGCCCCGAGAGGCATCTCGCTGAGCACGCTGCCGTATCTCGCTTGGCACCTGGCCACTATTGCAGCCGCACCGAGAAGGCCAGCCAAAGGCCGATAAGAAGGTTGGAGGGGGGGTGGGGGGAGGGGAGGAGGAGAAGGGGGAGGACTTGCCTCCCGCCTCCCCCCCGGGAGCCCCGCCCCGCCCGGCCCCCCCGGCATGTCGCGTCAGGCCTGGGACAGCCAGCGGCACCCGGACTGCCAGTCGTCGTCCTCGCCGTCCTGGCGCCGCGGGGGAGGGGGGAGGACGCCGGGGCGGCGAGGAGTCTGCGAGGGACCTCCGCCTGTGTCCCGACATGCCGCACTCCTCTGCGCGTCCTCGTGGACTCTGATTGCCTCGGAGCGGCCTGGGGTGTGCCCTGGGAGTGGCACCCGAACAGCTCGGGATCAGAAGGCCGGTCTGGGGGAAGGGGGTCGAGAAAGGTTTGGGGCGTCGACCGTCTGGCCGCGCAGCCGACAGGCTGGGATGAGGACACAGAATCGCATAATTCAACTTCACACACCGGGCAAACCCGAAGCCTCGGCCGCCAGATTGCCCCAGTGCGGTCCCGAGGGCTTCAAGCGCGCTGCGCATGAAGGCCGTTCACCTTCGCACACGCCCCGCATGTTTAGGGAAGGGGAGAGAGGGGGAGGAGGGGGAGGAGGAGGAGGAGGAGGAGGAGGAGGAGGAGGAGGAGGAGAGGAGGAGGAGGAGGAGGAGGAGGAGGAGGAGGAGCAGGAGGAGCAGGAGGAGGAGGAGGAGGAGGAGGAGGAGGAGAGGAGGAGGGGGAGGAGGAGGAAGGGGAGGAGGAGCGGAGGGGCGGAGGAGAAGAAGGAGGAGGAGGAGGAGGAGGAGGAGGAGCAGGAGGAAGAAGACGAGGAGGAGGAGGAGGAGGAGGAGGAGAAGGAGGAGGCGGAGGAGGAGGAGGAGGACGACAGAGGAGGAGTGATGAAGACTTGGTGGCATCGCTCGGACGTGTGCATGATTTCGACGAAGAGCATCGAGGAGCATACGTGCTCCTCTCGCGAAACATACATGCACGACACCGAGACGCGCACGGGGGAGGGACGTCCGAGCGACGGCAAGAAGCGGAGACCTGGGATTCGCCAAAACATGGGATCGTCGGAGAGGTGTGGTGGGCGAGGATGAGCGGACGACGAGAGAGAGAGGACGCGCCTCGAGATATAAACAAGTGCCAGAGATGGTGCCTACCCTCCGTCCGGAAACCATGCCTGGGGCCCTGGACTGTCAGGCGACGACTGGTGGTGAGGCACTGGCCTTTGACTGGAGAGGGGTTCGAGGTGTCCAGAAGCTTGCGATTCCCCCTGGCATCGCTCGGACGTGTGCATTTTTCCTTCGGCGAGGACCATCGAGGAGCATCCTTGATCATTTGGCGAAAAAACCACGCACGAAACCGAAAAAAAAACACAGGAAATGGACGTCCGAGCGATGGCCAGTTCCCAGATATGGCAAACTATCGGTTGTCTGGTGCGACGAGAAGGAGGAGCAGCAGTATTTCAACCATTTCAAGGATTCCTTGACGTGAGCAGCACGGTGAGATGACGGAGGGGGGCGGGGAGGAGGGGGGGGGACGGAGTTGGGGGGGGATGCGATGCATGAGAGAAGGTCCGAGGGGAGGGAGGAGGCATGGGATTGAGGGGAGGGGGAGGTCGAGGGAAATTTCACGGGAGAGCGAGAGGAGAGGGAGGAGAGGAGGGACTTGTGGACCAGGGAGCGAGGGGAACAGGAGAGAGGGAAAGTGCAAGCTAGGTTAATTTTTGCCAACGCGTGTCGTAGCGGACCTGGAACTCCAAAGGGGACCTCATCGTGCCATGCGCAATCAGAAAAAAAAAAGCGCTGCGTACATTGGAGGAGATGGCGAAGGATGGGCAGGAGGATGAGCAGGAGGAGAAGGAGGCGAATGAACATTGAAAGAGGACGAGGACGAACAGTATCAGCAGGAACTGGAGTGGAAGGAGCCAGAGGAGCAGGAGGGCCAGGGGAGGCGGAGGAGGAGAAACGAGGGGGGCGGCATCGAGGGAAAAGGGATTCAGAACAGCGGCCCGCGCTGCAGCGGGAGTACCATCTCCGAACATCATTCTATTGCACAAGCAGCCATATGACCTGGCCAGGGCCATCGAGGAGCATGTGGGGTCATCTTGCGGAACATACGCGCACAAAGCCGAAACATGCACGGGGAATGGACGTCTGAGCGATGGCGAGATGACAAATCACCGTTTGTCCAATTCTGCGAAGAGGGGAGTACGCGGATAGGGCGGGACATCTTCCGGACAGAGTCAGGGGAAGAGAGGACAGTAGTATTCATATTGAGCAGGTGTAGAAGACAGGAGAGACAGAAGCGAGGTCGCAGCGAGGGGGTAGGAATTATGGTGGGGCGAAGCGAATGAGGACGTGATTCTCGTGATGCAGATGGTTTTGATAATCCACTTCTCTCCTCCCCCTCACTTCTCCATGTCCCTTCTTCCATCTTCCTGCATCCTCTGGGGAGTCGCATACAACAAGTAAGCTCCACTTGCTCTGTGATGTATCCCTATGTTTGTAGAATGATGTTGGTGCTGAACCTGCCGGTCAAGGAAAGCTCGCTTTCTTGCACAATTGTTTTGTCACCATCGCTTGCTATGTCGACGACGCGGAAGGCGAAGCTGACTGCGACACAGCAGGCACACCAAAGAAGGAATTCTTCACGCTTCGCGGATCCCCACCAGCCGGCTCAGCAGCTGCCTTGTGAGCTGGCCCGGCCGGCCCGTTTCGCGCCTAGCAGCTAGTTAGGGCTGTTTCCGTGCCCCGGACAGCTTCTGTCTCCGCCTGCGCTTTCGCTAGCGGACGCGACCGAAAAAGTATCCCCACCAGCCCATTCAGAAGCCCTGCCCATGAGAGCTGACGGGAACAGGGACGAAGAGACACATTTAGGGAAACAAAGCGAGCAACCAGGGTGTACCGAGAGATCTCTGGGAGCAAGGGGGTGGCCTTGGAAGGCCTCTTCGGGCCATCATTGGGGTCCGCGTGGGGGCAAGGGGAAGAGGAGGAGGATCCGTAGGAGGAGGACGAGGAGGAATAGGAGGACGAGGACGCGGATGAGGACGAGGACGAGGAGGACGAGGGCTAAGATGAGGACGACGCGAACGAGGACTCATGGAACCATCTAGATGTATTATTGCGGCTGCTGCTGCTGCTGCTGCTGCTGCTGCTGCTGGTGCTCTCTGGAAGTTTGGGGGCCTTCTTGGAACCCTCTTGGTAACCCTGGAAGGCTTCTTGGGATCATCTTAGAGGCCATCGATTACAGGATGCGGGGGTCCCCAACTCAGCTCCCCCTTCTGGAGCCCGCAAGCTGCTTCTTGGGGCTATGTTGGAGCGCTCTAAGGTGCTCTTGGAGCGGTCTTGGGGCTGTTTGGAGCATCTTGGAAGCTATCTTGAGCCAGCTTGGGCTATCTGAGCCATCTTGGAGGTGATCTTGGGCTCGCTGAGGCCGCTCATAGGCCTCTTGGGGCTCTCTTGGGACCCTCTTGGGGCCCAAGAGGGGCTGTCTTGGGGCTCTTGGGAGCCTTGGAGCGCCTCTTGGGGCCATCTTCGAGGCTATCGATCAAATGAGGGTGTCCCGATCTAGGTCCCCCCCCCTTGGGGCCCTGAAAACCGCCTCATTGGGCGCTCTTGGAGCCCTCTAGGGGAGGCGCTCTTGGGCGTTCTTGGGGCCGTCTTAGGAGCATCTTGGGCCCCTCTTGGGGCCTTCTTGGGCCATCTTGGGGCCATCTTGAGGCCCCCAAAGAGCATCGGAAGCGAAACGGCGAGAAGGCAAAACTCTCCCGATCGAGGTCCCCCCCTCGGGGGCCACGATCCCCGTGAGGGGTGTCAAAAATTGGCCCTCCCAGGGGCCGAAAAATGACCCTCCGGCCTCCGCCTCCGCCGCCGCCGCCGCCGCCGCCGCCGCCGCCGCCGCCGCTGCCCGCCGCCGACGCCGCCGCCGCGCCGCCGACGCCGCCGCCGCTGTCCGCCGCTGCCGCCGCCACGCCGCTGTCCGCCGCCGCCGCCGCCGCCCCCGCTGCCAAATCGCCGCCGCCGCAGCCGCTGCCGCCGCAGTCGCTGCCGCCACCGCTGCCGCCGCCGCCGCCCGCCGCCCCCGCCGCCGCCGCCGCCCCCGCCGCCGCCGCCGCCAAGTGTACTCTGTATTGTTTTTTGACAGGGATGGTGGGGAGAGGCCGCATCGGGTTCGCTGCGCATGCCCCGAATTTGAAGACAGATTGTGTTTTGGTTTGTTTTTACCAGGGATGGTGGGGGCAGAGTGTGCGTTGCATGGTTTTTTTACCAGGGATGGCGGGGGGGGGGGGCCCGCATGGACGCGGGTTGGCTCCCTGTCGCCTGGGGGAGGGGGTGTATACGAATAAGGAAAAGTGATAAAGACGCCCTCCCCGCCCGCAAGCCGTCTCGCTCACTCCCACCCGCCCTCCCGACACAGACGTAGCACCCGAGCCTGGCCCGAGCCGCAGCATATTCAGCAGTCGTCTTTGGATGGGCAGCTACTGGGGGCGAATCTAGCGGCGGCGGCGGCGGCCCCCGCTGCCGAATCGCCGCCGCCGCAGCCGCTGCCGCCGCAGTCGTTGCCGCCATCGCTGGCGCCGCCGCCGCCGCCGCCACCGCCGCACCCGCACCCGCACCCGCCGCCGCCACCGCCGCAGCCGCCGCAACCGCTGCCCCCGCCGCAGCCGCCGCCGCCGCCAAGTATAGTGTGTATTGTTTTTTTGGCAGGGATAGAGGGGGGAGGCCGCATCGGGTTCGCTGCGCATGCTCCGAATCTGGAGGCAGAGAGTGTTTTGTTTTGTTTGTTACAAGGGATGGTGGCTGGGGGCCCTCGTTGTCCCTGGTTGGCTCCCAGTCGCCTGGGGGAGGGGGTGTATATCAATAGGGAACAGTGATCAAGACTCCCTCCCCGCCCGCAGGCCGTCTCGCTCTCCCCCACCCGCCATCCCAACACATATGTAGCACCCGAGCCGCAGCATATTCAGCAGTCGTCTTTGGATGGACACTAACTGGAGGCGAATCCGCCGCCGCTCCCGCTTCCGCCGCCGCCTCCGCGCCACCGCCTCCACCGCCGCTGTCCGCCGCCGCGCCGCCGCGCCGCCCGCCGCCGCCCGCCGCCGCCGCCGCCGCCGTTGCCGAACCGCCGCCGCCGCAGCCGC